CTGGCAAATAGATGGGGAAGAAATGGAGGTAGTGACAGATTTTATTTTCCTGGGCTCCAAGATCACCACAGATGGGGCCTGCAGCCAAGAAATTAAAAGACACTTGCTCCTGGGGAGGAGACGTATGGCAAATCTAGACAGCATACTAAAAAGCAGAGACATCACGCTGCCAACAAAAGTGCATATAGTCAATGCTATGGTTTTCCCAGTTGCAATGTATGGCTGTGAAAGCTGGACCGTAAGGCATGCTGAACGCTGAAGGATTGAGGCCTTTGAATTGTGGTGTTGGAGGAGACTCCTGCAAGTCCCTTGGACCGCAAGGCAATCAAACCGGTCAGCCCTATAGGAGGTCAACCCTGACTGCTCTTTAGAAGGCCAGATCCTGAAGATGAAACTCAAATACTTTGGCCACCTAATGAGAAGGAAGGTCTCCCCGGAGAAGAGCCTAATGCTGGGAACAATAGATGGCAAAAGAAGGCGGGGACAGCAGAGAAAGAGGTTGCTGGATGGAGTCACTGAAACAGTCGGCATGAGCTTAAGTGGACTCTGGGGGATGGTGGAGGACAGGAAGGCCTGGAGGGATGTTGTCCATGGGGTCCCGATGGGATGGACACGACTTTGCAACTACCTACAACAACAACAACAAACCTCCCACCCCTACCTGGTTCTACATGGCAATTAACTTTAGGAGGGAAAGCCCATTCAGTTGATGCCATTGGAAAGACTGGGTCGTTTTAATGACTTAGCATTGCTTCTACTTGACTGAATTTATCTGAATGTAAAAAAATAGCTTCTACAAACACAGGAGCTCCTACATTCAGAAAAAGGTGTAATTTCCTGATCTGGTCATTCACAGGCTGGATATTCCCACTGCAATCTATAGGAATGAAAAAGTGCTTAACTTTGGCTGGATTGTGTCCAAACTTTATGCGAGTGAAATCATTTAAACCTGTGACACCTTCTTTTAATTGGTGTATTCTTATACATTTGTATGTACATTATTTATTTGATTTTTAAAAATATATGACTGAAGGCTTTTTCCCCACTGCTAATAGGATCAGGCTTTGGTCAGAAATAGCCAAAACAGCACGGAAACAAAGTGTATGGGATGTGTGTCGGGCTGCATGTAGATTCTGTCTCTTATATGATGATTGTCAAATGACAAAAGCCTCAAAGCGCAAAAAAGGTAAGTTATGTACTTACGTGTGCTATTATAGCACTCGGTTATCTTCAAGGCTAATGCAGAGGATGTTTGACTTTGACAATAGGTTATCTTGCTTGGCTGTCAGAGACTGTGTTCAACACCCCCATTAAACTTGAAGAAGGGCAATGAGGCAATCCTGTACAGGCCCAAACATGTCAGAGCTAAAAGTGTGGTAGGGGAGAAGGCTTGTATGTAGGCCTAGTACCACCATCCCATAAGTATGCAGGAATCTATAAAAATACTTGCACATTTTGCTCAAGTCTGTAGGGCACTTGTAAGTGTGTCTGGTGGGACACTCTTACAAGGTTTCCTGCTTTATTGGAATAACTAATTGTGGGGAAATTTATGCATTCATTTGAACGTGAAGGTGGGAAAAGGTGTTGGAAGCAGGACTTGTATGCACCACTTCCCATACTTTTTAACCCTCTTATGGTCTGCCTGTATGCCTGCAACTGGCACAAGATTGTACAGCCCATTAGATCTTGCCTTCCTCAAGGGAAGACAGAACGTCAGCCATACTTACAATAATAAAATCTTCTGTAAGTAGTTTTAGAGTGGTTCTTTGTGTTGGTGGAATTGGTATTCCTAGCTGACAGTTTTAGTTTGGATGTGAATTTCTTTGGTTACTTTAATTTATAAATATTATGTACTTTTGTATAACTAGTAAATTCCCCAAGTATGTAGAAATTCACGCCTTATTTGTGGGTAGTCCACAAGTGGGACTTACAACAGTATATTGCATTATATAATCCTCTCCCATGCATACCTTGGAGGGTTATTTCAGCAGTGTGCCAGCCAGCCAGTCATATTCTCCTCAAGGATATTATAATCTGTTCATGGTTCAAGTTGTCCAACTTCTTTCTCCCTGCTCCAATTTCCCATTTTCCTCTTTCATCTGACATTTAATATTATGTGGCTCCTAGAAAGCACTGGACATGTTAAGTCCACATTTGGCTATACTGTGATTTTCCTTTACTTTTAATTTATAACCATGTATATTTCTGCATGCCTTATTTATTCTCCATATAAGAAGAATCTACTGCCCTTCAAACTCCAAAGTAATAGGCATTTGATTACCTGCATTTGTTATTAGATAATCCTGATCTTTGTGACAGGAGAGAAATCCAAGTAAATTGGCACATGTTGTCTAGCATTTTGAACCGACAAGGAAAAAAGCTATCCTGCCTGTTGGTGGGGTTTGTTTGAGACAAAGCACTCAAAAAACCAAGAGGCAAAACTGCTGTTTGCCTTTGTTTTTTTCCCTTCAGCTGTTTAAATGTCTACATATTGATAGCATTATACCTCAGGTAAATAAGCAGCTTTTTAGTGATTGGCTTTAACATTGGACATATCAATCACACTGGGTTTTATCCCTGCATCTGCTAAATATAATGTTTAAGTAGCTGGTAAAAGGGCTTTTGTTATTTCAAGAGTTTACATACACACAGAGAGAGACAGAGAGAGACAGAGAGAGAGACAGACACACACACACAGAGAGAGAGAGAGAGAGAGAGAGAGAGAGAGAGAGAGAGAGAGAGAGGTTGTCAAAATAACGTCATTTGCTTTTTCTTTAGCATTCAAGAAGAAACCTAGTATGATCATAGTAGAAGATGACCAGGAAGGAAATACGCAAAGAGAATCACCTTCACCCACTAAGATATTCTCTTTGGAAAGAGATTTACTCAGAACTTTAGCAGAAATAAGATTCATTAATGCAGAGGTTAGTAAATTGAGTAAAGGTCCAATTAATTTCCTCTTTCTTTCTGTCCTTGCTTGTATGTGTAATGCTAATAAGGTGGTGATTTCCACTTAAATTAGCTTGCTAGGAAGGTCTACTTCATTATAGAGAAAGGACCATTACAAAATTGGCCAATCCAAACAAACTGCTTATGATGTTTATCTCTTACAAGATTCCACTTCTAAAATTCACAACCTGTGCTGATAGGATTTCTTGCAGGTGAAGTATCACAGGGCTCTCCCCATTATCCCTGCTGTGTATTGGTATGTTATCCAGGATCAGAGATATTTTTTTTAAATTAACTTTTCTGTTTTCTCAGGTTTATGGGTCTTTTTTTCTCAGTAATAAAACTGACTTAAAAGATTCCTTTTCAACTTTTTATGTCCAACTTTGAATCAGCACCAATATTTTGTCAGTTTTACTGTGAATGAAAATGTTATTTATATGTAATTTTTCTTTAAAAATCAAGAATATTGTTGCAGATACTAACTACTGCTTTTAGAATTTTAGCATTTTAGGGATTATTTAAGGCAATTTATATCTTGCCTTTCAGTTAAAAATTATAGCACTTAAGAAAGTTAACTCTACTTCTTAAAAAGATTCTAGATACAAAACATGATACAATCATATAAAAAGTCCAAGTTGCAAATTAAAAGCTAGAATTAAGATAAATATGCATTAATATATATTACATTATTTGTTCTTATACATTATTTAAAAATGTATGTTTCTGGAATGAAGATAGAGGCGTTGACTTTAGAAATTTGCTGTTTTCTAATCCTTTATGATGGCCAGATGTTAAATTGACTTTTGTTCATCCCTAGCAATGGAAGACTGAAAAGGCCAGCATCATAGGATTTTTCCATGTACACTAGCTTGAGAAACATGTATGTCTCCCACTGTGAAAATATTAGAGCCTTTAACAAGCCTTTTCTGTAGATTTCTAGGGTTTCTTAGCTCATTACAGTTTGACAGTGTCTTGTCTTGTGCTTTTCATAACAGCAAGTGCCAAAGAATCTTTTCTGGCCTTGAGAGGTAGTTTATTTTGGTTAGTTTATTTTGTCTGTTATGTATTAACTGGAAAGACTCTCAACCTTCCATGCTCTTCCTTCTCCCTCCTTTGTTACCTCTTTCTGTGCATTCCAAACTTTTGCTTCTTCATTTTAAACTAATATAATGTCTGATCTTCAGAAACTCTGGTTTGCTAAAACTCTGTGAGAGCAAACTAGGCTCAAAATGTGATTTTTAGATCCTGGTTTGTTCACTAACTAACGTTTAAAGAAACTTTAGTTCCCTGAGTTCAGATACTACTGGAACTGTGGTTAATTCAAAATAAAAAATAGAACTTCCCATTTCTTCCTGAGGCATCTGAAGGAGCAGGTAACAGAAGGGCTGATCCTGCAGTCTCGAGACTTGCCTTACACAACTCAGAAATATATAAATGCATGTGTGCAGAAGGGTGTTCTCAGTGGCTATTCTGAGAACAAGATGGGAAGCCTTTGGGTCTGGATTTTTCCCTAGGATTCAGTTGCAAATATGTACTTGAGAAGATTATCACCTGTGCCTGCTAACACTGCCTAATATATTGTCCATACTGTGTTTACTCCTTTTTTTCTGTGTGCTAATTCTAGGCTACAATTCATTTACTAAGAACGGAAGGTGTTGAGCTGAACAATCATGCTGTCTTCCCTGTAGAGACAAGTCTGCAGTCTGCAGGACACTGTATGCCACAAACCGGGCATGAATCAGAATGGAATACATACAGGTAGCTTAGTTAAAGAATTAATGCTTGTTTTAATTATATTTTCAAAATAATTAGATCAGTTCTGGAGAAATCCCGTTCAAGTCAGACGTAAGCCCCATTAGATATATTTGCATGCCATGCCAACCCAATACTTTACATACATGTCCTGGCAATAAGCCACAATGGGTTGGTTGTTCTCCAAACAACAAAGGGTGCACCTGACAGAATCCTTGTGACTTGCAGTTACCTTTTTGTCACTTTTTTGGAGGGATACTGCAAAGGCCAGCTTAACAGCTGGCTTGGCAACCACTAGCAGTCCTTTCAAAGTGTTCAACTAGCTAGCTGTCAAACCTCTGACTTCTTTCAAAAAGGGGAGGAATTGGCAGGGCTTCCCATGATTTCTTCACAGGGACATCGGCAAAAATACATATGTTGTGTGAACCTAGACACTGAGTGCAACAGAACAAGTGTATAGTACTGCAATTTTAGATACCTAAATTTAAGTTTGAATTTTAAATGTCACTGCTGTTTCTTAAAATTTTGCTAAAGATATTTCAGTATTCTAAATGGAAATCCATTCTGCTAAATCAGTGTGTTTGGCTCTGTAATGAAATTTCAGTGTTGTTTTCCTTTCCATCCCTTAATTTTTCAAGTAACTAAGGAGTTTATCATGTGAACAGAGAAAAGGTCCTACAACTCTCAGCCATGATGCGGCATACTGGGAGTTACAGGATTTTACTTCTGTCTAAACACTCATAATATTGAGCCCTAATATTGACAGGAATACACACCGCTTTTGAGGAAAACACATTCTTCTTTTCCTTTATTGGTGAAAATTGCATTCTTAGAATCCACTGAAATTTAATTTTCCTTTAGATTTATCATAATTGTAAGTACAGATTATGACCTCTACCCCCTTCTCACTCAATCCAAGTATAAAAAGTTCAAGTATAGAAAGGCAGACTTCCTACAACCCCACAGAGTCAAATCTTTGCCTGAATTTTTCAATACATGAATTTGAGATAATTTCAGACAAGTCTCGAGTCATAAGGAAGTATAAAAATGTACCATTTTTAGTAATTAGAATAACTTATAGTTACACCTTTCTCTCTGTTATGGAAATCTCCTAACTATTTTGGTAGCCTTTTGATTCCTAAGGGTACAGTCTTATGCATATTTAGCTACAAATAAGTCCACTGAATTCAGTGGAACTTATTTCAGAGTAAGCACGGGGTGGAGTGGGGGTGGGAGGGAAGGGTATGAGACAAGAAATCCTGTAGTCCTCATTTTTTAGGATGGGGAAATATTCAGATAATGAATATTTCCTGCTTGTGGTTTGGAAGTTAGATCTGTGTCACTTGAAAGAATTAGTAAACAAGAGTTCTTCTTTGTGGTCTCTGTGCAGAGTCTGAGACAGAGCATTTTGGTGGAAGCACTTCCCCCTCCCCCCATGTGGTGTATAAAGGTGGTGCGCCTTTATATAGGGGCTCCTGCCTCCAGTGAACAGGGCTCATTTTTGACTGCCACCTTGGGTGTCTTGGATTTGTTCTGACCCTAGTTTTACCTCACAACTTAGAACACTTTTTTCTCTCAATTTACTTCACTAAAAACATTTTGCTAAAGAAGCAAAAACATTTGCTTCTTCTCTTCACTATAACCTTAACCTATCCTATATAATAAAAAAAATGAAATAAAAAACCCTTCTATCTTCTATCTAACCCTACTCTCTGTCTTAACCATTAACAGTCTTTCTCTACACCCCCTTCCCTCCCACAATGTTTTCTAATTTCCCCCTATGACATTCACGGCAGCAATTTGAAAGTACATGCACTGTGGCACCAAAATGCCCTCCACGGATGGGCTCTCTTTCTTTTCTGCTTGGGAGAAGATCACAGGGTAGATTCCTGCCTACATCACCAAGCTTTTACAAAGCAGCCAAGAAAAAACTGGGCGGAGTGCCTTTAGCAAGAAATGTGGACGAGGGCATTACAGTCACCTCTAGTCCTTCTGTCTCAAAGACAATTCCAAGCTCTCACCCACCATCAGCAGCTGCTGATGCTCCACTAGCTGAGAAAGTGAAAGCTGGGCTGGCAGCTACTGAAAAAAGGCTGAAAAGAGGATCAAACATGGCCTCAAAATGCTGACCAAAAGTGGTGCCAAAATGGTGGGGGAAAAGGCAACAGAAAAACCAACGAAAAAGGCTCTGTGCCATTCACTGACATGGGACCAATTGCTCGTTTGCTCTGCGGTGCAATCAGTGGAGCTTGGACCAACTGCATCACTGGCTCCTCCACCTCAAATGGCACCCCCACCATCAGGATCAAGGGTCCGAGCAGAGCAAATGACTATGCACTCATTTTCAGAGAGTGAAATAAAATATTCTCCACCAGCAACTCTGCTAGGATCACCTCAGCCCGATCCCTGGACCATCTTATGAGCTGATTTCACCAACAGTTCCCTGTGGCTCTAGCCTGAATAAAGGAGATGCCTTTTGATGAAGGTCTCTTCAGTGCCCAAACCTATGAGAAGTTGGATAGCATGCAAAAGTCAAGCACAGTGGCAAGAAGAATGGGCTTCATACCCCAGAGATCAAGAACATGTAAGTGGCCATGGGGCCCATCTTATTACCCCAGCAGAAATCAGCCATACTACCTGGCTCACTAGCAGCGACCACCCACACAACAAAGTTGGGATGCTGCACCCTCATACCCAGCAGTCCACACACACACACACACACACACACACACAAGTGGATGTTGAGAGGCAATGTTGCTGACCACCAACTTAAACCAATCCCTCATTGCTATTAAGAATTTTGTTCAAAGGCCACCTAAGAACTTTCCTTCCCCAGTAGGAAGACATAACATTAGACAGATTGGTATTTTCCATTATTTAATTCAGGTACTGCATTCGCATCAGTTCCACCACTCGGGATCATACACACTACCTTTCCATTAGCTACCTTATAAAAGGGAGTGATTCAGTTTGTCCAACCATCCAATCTCCAGTGGAGATTCTACTCCCGATATCTTACCATCCTGAAGAAGGACAGTGACCTCCGTCCTGTATTGGATCTTAGAGGTGTGAATTTGTACATTCCACAGAAGAAGTTCTACATGATTTCTCTAATGACTGTACTACCCTTGTTAAGACAAGGGGACTGGTTCACATCAGTAGACTTAAAGGATGTATACTTTCATGTTTCTATCCACCCAGAACACGAACATTTCCTATGGTTCTGTATCAGTACCAAAAGTTACACATTTTGTTTGCTTTCATTTGATCTTGCCACAGCCCTGAATGTATTCATGAAATACATGGTGGTAGTCTGTGCACACCTTTGGGTTCAAGGGATTAGGATATGCCCATACTTAGATGACTAGCTCTTGGCCGCCCCATCTGTAGTGGACTTGAGGCCTCAGTTCACACTACATATTGTCTCTTACATAAACTAGGACTATATATTAATGATGAAAATCTATACTTTCTCTCTCCCAGTCTATCCTGTATTTCAGTGACAGACTGGATTCTGTGGACAGCCAGGCATACCTGGCCCTAGACAGAGCATCAGCTCTATCCAGGTTGGCCCTGTGCCTCCAAACAGAAGCCAGATCTGCAGCACACCAGATGCAACAAACTCCTGGGACTAATGGCAGCTACAGTCTCAGTCATACAACATGCTCACCTGCAAATGAGACTTCTCCAGGTATGGTTTCTTTGAGCCTACTGACCAAATGGAAATGCTTGACTGTCCCTTGGTCAGAATGGTCCAGTCTCACTTGGTGGATTATGCAGTAAAACCTCTCCAATGAGGTTTCTAGCCTTTACCCGCAAGTAACCAGACTTGACCATAACAACAGATGCTTCCTCTTGGGGATGGGGGACACAGCGCACTGTAAAGAAACTCATGGATTATGAAGCAACCAAAACCATATCAACTTCTTGGAGCTTCTTGCAGTACAAAAAACATTGCTGTCCTTTGAACAAGTACTCAAGAACAGCCATATTCAGATAATGTCGGACAATACCACAGTAGTGTATTATCTAAATGAACAAAGGGGGACTTGTGACCTATCCCTGACCCAACTTACACTATCAATATGGTACTGGTACTTAGAATGGAACACAACAATTGTGACAGGCCGCCTAGCAAGAATTTATAACAAACTGACCAACAGTCTGAGCAGAAGGCTAGACATGACTCACAGTTGGGAATTATATCCAGAAGTTGTAAAACAGCTCTTTACAGCATGAGAAATACTGTCCATGGACCTATTTCCAACACCAAGCAATATGGTGTGCCGACATTTCTGTTCTCGAGCTGGAGCTGGCATTGGATCCATGGGTGATGCATTCCTTATACATTGGAACAGGACACTCTTTTATCTGTTCCCTGCATTTCAGACTGACTGCATTCTAGTGACCCCATGGTGGCCGCAACAGGCATGACTTGCAAACCTTCTTTTCCTGTCCAACTGAGAATTTACTCGACTCCCAATGAGATCAGACATTATATCTCAGGACAGTTGACTATTCTTATACCCAGACATTGAGACCCTACATCAAAGAGCAAGAAGGATACCAGACAGACAAGGGAGCTCTCCTGTGGCCCAAGATATGGTTAATCCTCAACACTGCACTCAAAGCAAACACCAGGCACATCATCCATCCATAAAATTCTCCCTTTCCTGCATGGCCTTCATCTCAATGGTTTGAAAATGTCCTCGATTAGGGTATACTTAGCAGCTATGTCCTCCTCTTATAGAATGGTCAAGGGACACTCAGTTTTTTGGCACCTTCTCACCAAGACTGTTCCTCAACTGCTCAACCTTGTACCCCTGACCCAATCAATCGTGCCAGGATGGAGCCTTTCAGTGGTTCTGCAAGCTCTCACAAAGCCCTCCTTCAGACCCTTAGCTACCATCAACCACCATGTTCTCTCCTGGAAGGTGGTGTTTTTAGTAGCCATCACTTCAGCCAGATGGGCTAGTGAGCTATGCACTCTCCAAATTGACCCACCATTCCTTGTCTTCCATAAGGACAAGGCAGTTTTCTGATCAGATGCAAGGTTATTTCAAGTTTCCGCTTGAACCAAGGCAGAACCTTACCAGCTTTCTTTCTGACACCATCCAGTCTGATGGAAACAGCTCTCCACACACCGGATGTTCGAAGGGGCCTAGCCTTTTATCACTTCTCCACAGAACCATTCCACCAATCCAGAAGACTATTTGTCTCGTGGAAAAATCAGAAGGCGGCCTCATAACTCCACAAAGACTAACTCACTGGATTGTAGAAACCATCAAACTAGCCTACCAACTAGCCAAACTGGAACTCCCAGAAAAACCCAATGGCACACTCTACCAGAGCAGTAGCTACATCCCCAGTGCTACACAGTGGCATACTGGTAAAAGATTTATGCAGAGCTGCAACTTGGTCCAATCCTTCAACATACATTTGGCACTACTGGCTCAATGTCAGAGCCAGACAAGACTGCTTCTTTGGATGGGCAATCTTATCAACAGCCCTCTACTGACAACACTGTTCCACTTCCATTTCACAGTAAGCTTGCTAATTGCACATATGTGAAATGCACACAGAAGAAGAAAGTGAGGTTGCTTAACAGTAACCGACATTTCTTCAAGTGGCCATCTGTGCATTCAGACAACCTGCCCACTGGCCCTGCATTGATGTTGATAATCATAATCATCCAAGGCATTTTTCCCTTCTCCCCACCCGCCTTTCCATCCATGCCATAGTGATGCAGAGAGGGCCAGAAACAGCCACCCCTTCTCCAGTTCCAAGGCCAAAGTGACAGTCTTGGGGAAAGTGGCAGGAGCCCTGCCTTTATATGCCACATGGGATAAGGGGGTGGACTCCCACCAAAACTCTTAGCCAGGGGAATCTCTCTTTCCCTGACAACAGGCCCACATAAGCCCCAGCCCACATGTGTGCATGCACAGATGCCCACTTGAAGAATGGCAGCTACAGGTAAGCAACCTTACTTTCTTCACTAAGCACAGAATGCAGGTGAAATTTTTTATATTATTCAGATACTCTTTTGCACCTACAGATGGGGCAGTCTCATTCCTACATCAAGAAGCTATCTGAAGATAATCTGGAGAATTCTTCAGTGGCCTTCATTAAGTGCATAATACATTTTTATATCTCTCCTACAGTTAAATCCATTTGAACACAGTTTTGTGAAAGATTCAGGCTCCAAGGCAGCATTAATTTGTTAAATCTCAGACATCAAAATTATGGAATTTATGTTGACATGTGATTCTAACATATATTGAATTCTACACACAACCCTATTTCTCATTAGTCTTGCTATAGGATGTTTGAAAAAACTACTTTGTGGTATTTTTTTTAAATAACATAAATCCACTCAAAAAAATGCTCTCATGCTTTGAACTCTCTGATGGCATCTTTTTACAGACTTGCTTTGCAAAAAGTTTAGGTGCTCAGGGTCAACTGCTTTTTTATGCACTGTCTGATAGATACTTTAATGATAAAACCCATACTTTGAAATAGAGAACTCTGAAATATATCTTTTCCTTTAATTAAAAAAGCAAAGGTTTTCAACCAACTTGGAGCCAGGAAGACACACATTAGTTAAATAAAAATGACATGTGATTCATGAGACATGACAGCTGCCACTGGGAATGTTGCTGGAAGCTATATGGCTGCATATTTCAGCTTTCCAGCAAAGCAGAGCAAAGTGGTTAACTGATATTTCATGTCCTCAGGAATGCTGTCACTGTAGATAAATTAGCTACAGAGCTGCAAAAACTAAAATGCAGCAGGCTTACATTAAAATAATTAGAAATCAGTATATGACTTAAGAAAATTTTGCACTAAATAAGTAATGGGCAATTATTTTCTTATTTTTACATCTGCTATTTACATCTAAATTACTGCTTTTCTCTTGCCAACATATACACTTTGCCTGAACATGCTAAGTAATAACTCCTAAATTTGGGCACCAGATTGACAACCCTCACAGTCAGAATATTTGTTGGAAAGAAAAGCAAAAAACTGTGGTTCCGATATCTCTTAAAGAGCAATCTTGTGGTACCCCAGGCACCAAAGGAGTGAGTGGAAATCCCTTTACAAGATCATAAATAAAGTTCCATCCTTAGTGGGAAAGATATGATCTCAGAGTCACCCTCCTGGCCTTTCCTGTTCACCATGAAAGAATTCTGTGGACTGGAATATATGATAGCATTTGGAAATAATCATGTTTCCACTAAATAATCGTGTTGCGTGATGCTCCTAAACAGATAAGTCCTTCATATATGCATTTTGTATTTTATTGTCTTCAGTTTTGGGTGATTTTAAAATCCTTCTTTATTGTGACTTCTTAGCAGCTGGATAGACCATTTATCTAAATATGCTATGGAAAACTTTTTACGGGCTGCCAAAATTGGAGAAGAGTTAAATGAATCCTGGATTGTGCATAACACTGTGGTGTATGTCTTAAACCACAATAAGCATCTGATTGCTTCAAAAAGGCAAAGAGAAATAGTTGAACCTCTGCATATACTTTTCAATGCAATTAGGAATACTGGGCATTGTGGGTAAGTTTTGAAAGAGTTAATTGAATCTTTCACTTTTCTTTTTAAGGCATATAATCATGGTAGGCAGATTTTAATCTCTTTCTATCAATGCCACTTTTACCATGCTGTACCTCAGGTTCACTGAAAGACATTGGAACTTTTTTGTATTATTACTAGCTTGCTTCAACTGGCAGAACAAACTTCACTCAGTTTCTATCTGTTGTAGTCATCCAGCTCTCATCAGTTTAAAAAAGTGAATAAGGAGAGCTTTTGTATGTGACAGCTGGGTTGAATAGTAGTCATGAAAGAGCATTGTAATGAAGAAAAATATTGTATGTAAAAAAATGCAAGGACCCTTTTACTCTATATAGAATGTTTTGGCATTCAGGCAGAAGTTGGTGGGTACATGCAGGTTTGATGAGTGTTGTCCATTATAAAGAGTAATTGAAGTCAACCTGATACATTATTTTAAGTTTATAAAAGTTATAGTTTTATAAAAATGAAGGCAAAGAGAATCTCTGATGTGGGTCAGTTATATATCATACATGTTTAACTACCATATAAGCTATTATGGAAGTCTTTCTCATGATTTATAACTTATACAATCCTAATTGTATCTCGAGATTGTATCTTCTCCTTCATGGATCACTGCGTTGTCGTGGCGAAGGGGCTTGCATAGCTCAATGAAGCTGTGAGCTATGGCATGCAGGGCCACCCAAGACGGATAGGTCATAGCAGAGAGCTCTGACAAAATGTGATCCATTGGAGAAGGAAATGGCAACCCAATCCAGTATCTTTGCCATGAAAACCCCATAGACAGCACCAAAAGGCAAAAAGATATGATGCCTGAAGAAGAGCCCCTCAGGTCGGAAGGTGTCCAATATGCTACTGGAGAAGAGCAGAGGGCTAGTACTAGTAGCGCCAGAAAGAATGAAGCGACTGGGTCAAAGCCGAAAGGACGCTCAGTTGCAGATGTATCTGGTGGTGAAAGGAGAGTCCGATGCTGCAAAGATCTATACTCCATAGGAACATGGAATGTAAGATCCATGAATCAAGGCAAGCTGGATGTGGTCAAACAAGAGATGACAAGACTGAACATCGACATCTTAGGAATCAGTGAACTAAAATGGACAGGAATGGGTGAATTTAATTCAGATGACCATCAGGTATACTACTGCGGGCAAGAATCCCTCAGAAGAAATGGAGT